GGAACCTAGGGAATCATTAGAAGTACTGCATGATCCCTTGGACCTGGCATGCTACATCATCTTCTTAGTTTCATGATGATTTATTTTTTATTTTTGCTTAAGTTAGTTCAGGTTGGGTTCCTATTATTTACAATCGAAAGAATGTTGAATAATAGTTTTCATATTTTATTTGCATATATTTAAAGAAATGACTGCTGTATTCACACAGTAACACAGTATTCTTCCTTTTTTTTTAAGATAGAAAACAAAGCCTCTACTCTTCATAAATGTCACTCTAGTTAGCTGTAGGTGAGGGTAAGACTTACAAATACTAGAACCTTATTTCCTTACCTGAATAAAGAGTTTTTGAGCAAGGGCTAGGTTTAGTTTGTCATTTTTTTTTCTGTACTGAAGATTGACTCCAAAGCAAGTACTCTACCACTAAGCTATATCCTCAGTTGTTTTTATTTTTAAATTTTGAGTTAGGGTCTTACTAAGTTTCCCAGGCTGGCCTGGAACTTGCTACCCTGTTGTCTCAAACTTTTGAGTAGCTGGAGTTAGAGGAATGTGCCATCACATCTCACTCTTTGATCTTTTTTTAATTGTACTTATATATGTGGTATAGTGTGAAAATTCCATACTTAAATACAATGTATAATGATCAAACAGGGTAATTAACATTTTTGTTTCCATAAACTTTTGCCATTCATTTCTTTGCATGGAACCTTCAAAATCCTCTTTTCTAGCTTTTAGTATTATAAACATATAGTCATTTCTTGTAGATTATAGGTGTCCTACTGTGCTATATAGAATGCTAGAACTTATTCCTCCTACGGAATTGTTATTGGACCATCCTCTATGCTTGCTTACCTCCTCTTCCTGTAACCATTACTGTTCTACTCTCTACTTCTATGAAATCAAGTTGTTTAGCATTCACATGTAAGAACATTTCAGAATTTGTCTTTCTGTGCCTGCCTTATTTTACTTAACACAATGGTGGATTACGTTTCCTCACTCCCCATCCTGTCCCACAGGCACACCTGGTTTATTGATTGGCAGATGTTTAAGAAGTATCTGCTCAGTGGCTAAGTAGATGACATCTACTATTATTTTTTGTTATATTTTTTAGGGACTAGTGTTCTGCGTACTCTGCTTTTTCTCATTTCCTTTTCCTACCACACAATACCACTGACCTTTGGGAAACTCATTATGTTATTCACTAATGCAGATTCTGCGAACTCAGAATTGTTCATTGTAACAGAATACATTGCAGTCTGCAGAATGAAGAAACTATTTCATAAACACTATCTGAAATTTCCTAAACTCACTTAAAAATCACAAAGCATGGTGACATTCTATTTTATCCATGCCCAAAGCTTTTCTAAACTCACCAAAATACAATAAAAATGTATAACTGAAATTTTATTTTCTATTTCATGACTTTCCTTATTTCAAAAGCATCTTGGCTTGGACTAAGTCAAACGTAAGACTATATACTTTGACCAAATGAATGAAGAATGCAGGACAAATAGGGAAGAGCCAGTATTTTGAGAGAGCAGCTGGGAAATTTTTGATTAAACTATTTTTGCTTCCAAACTGAAATTCTGGTTATAGGATCTGTCACGGATATGCTAACTTTCAATATGTTTAGCTAAACAGAATTCCAACTCTCTTTACTATAGCTGCAAAAAATATTCATGAGACACATAAAAGATCTTAGCTTTTTCTACTTTGCTCTAGTCTTGTATTGATCTGAGGACCTCCAGGTTTGTTTCCCTGCCCCAAAGCCCACCCCTGCCTTTTTTCCCCCTGTTCTCTTGCTTGAGTATTGTTTGATAACCAACACCAAGACAATGAAAATACATTAATTTAGGCCCTACCTGGGCATGGAAAAGCAACAAGGCTCTGAGTGGAAGAAGAGATCAGTTTTATGCCATGGCATTGGCAATCCTGAATGAATGAGAATGGGCTTAATGTTAGGAGTCTCTTCCTGGCTGCAACAGCTTTTCTGATTCCAGATAGAGTCTCTGTGGCCAAACAAGGCTTAATAGGCGAAATCAGTGTCTAAATGGTCATCATGGACACATATCATCAAGACCCATGGCCAGAATGGCTGGGTAAACTGTTGGGCAACATCCAGACAGCGAGAGCCTGACAGCAGAGTCCATACTAGTGTAGGCCACTTACAGGGTGGTCTATGCTGAAAATTGCACATTGGAGCCTTTTCCTGCAGAAGCTGCTCTCCTAAAGTATCTATCTTGTGGTCTGGCATTTTCACTTGTACCTGCTCCACTCTCTGGATATCCTATCTAATTCTTGGCATCTGCACAGAGATCGGAAAAATCCTAAACTTCAAGAAAGAGCAATTTAAATCATTCATTTGCTGAGAAAGGAGTGACAATGATTTTTTTCAGTGATTATAAAATCATAGCATGTTATTGTTAAAAGGGACATTAAAAAATCTTTTGACCCAGTCCCTTTAATGTATTTATTGGTCACCAAAAGGAGGTACTTTGAAAAGATAAGTGACTTTTTGTGGTTGAATTATGGTTCACATAACCATTGCCACAGTAACTAAATTGGTGACTTCAATGTACCGGAGGAGGTAAGAAAAATTAGGGGACTAGAAACATCATGTATGTGTTCTTTATATTTATTTGTCTCTTCCATTATAAAACAACTATTTATGAATGTCTAAAAAGAATGACTAGTTATGACTTTTCCGAACATGAATGACTTATGAATATATTTTATAATGTACATAATTTATTATAATGAAGTTCTCAGCATTTATCTTCCTCTTCTTTTTATCTCCATAATAGTGATTATCATGTCACATATTATGTATTTTAATTATTTATTTTGTTTCTAGTTTTTTACTTTATTTATAGTATATCTGTCTCCCATTAAAATGTAAATTTCACAAGGGCAAGAAAGCACTACTTCTATGTGAGGAGCTACCGTGGACCCTACCAAACCACCATGAAAAACACAATTATTCCCTCTTCTATTTTCCTTGGCCACAACTTATTGTAGAAGTTTATTGGAATTATTTTCTAAGTGTACAGACAAATCACTTAATATGTGATTTTTAGGAAAATCACATCGCTTATCTATGCTTCAGTTTTATGGCCAAGGAAACAATGGGATTGAACAAAATAATCCTTATGGTTCTTTCTAGGTGTTACACTTGTTCTCTTTTGTAGCTCTAGTTCCTATAATAGAGAAAGCACCTGATAAATGTTTTTAAATGAATATATTGGTACAGCAGTATTTGTATATAATGTGCAAATAAATTTACATGTCATCTGTGGATGCCGAAGAACTGTTTACTCTTATGGGTATATTACTATACCCTCTGAGGCAATTTTTAAAATTGCATGTCTGTCAGGGAACAGGTTAACACAAAGACCAAGTAGGATACTAGTTAAGAAGGCTTAAAGTATAGCAGCTTCTATGCAGTGAGGACTATAACTCATCTAGAAGGGACTTAATTCTAGGGTTTTGTTTGAATGGCATATTTTAGTCATATCAAACCAGGACAAGTAGATTCTTGGGTTTAGAGTAGTGACTGAATTCATGGTTTCTATTGCTTAAGTATACTTAACTGGTTAAAAATCAAAATAAACATATTAACAATTAAAAACAAATAAAAGCCACAACAAAAAAATGTGAGTTCTTTTCAGCAGTGAAGGGACAAATTTTTGCTCCTAGAACTCAACATTAGGAAGAGCTAAAAAGGAGGTCAGRAATTGCCCCAAACAAGGTCCAGTGTCAGGGAAGAGCAATGAGGTCCTTCAAATAAGATTCTCTGGAGAATACTAGGCTCTAGGTAGATGATGTGGCTCTAAAATGCCTAAGTTTCAGGGGTAGAGCAGAGATTGCTGTATATGGTCTCTGTGTGTAAGGCCAGATGTTCTGCAGCACCCAACCACACTGGCTTTCAGTTTTGATGTTGTGACCAGGAGAGCAAGGAATGAGCAGTGTGTTTGACCTCAAACCCGATGCTGTGTGGGTTTCTGAACTTGGCATTCTCTCAGAGTTCATATACACTTACAGAAATAAGCAGGACTCAGCTGCAAAAGTAATTCTACATGACAGGGAGAAACATTAGCTTTGCCCAGCTGACCAGAAGCCCAATGTGTGTGTGTCCCACATTAGAAGAGCATAAACTTTCTCTGTGATTAAGTCTTTAGAGACTTGAACAATTTGAAAGTCAGGGAGGAAGAATCTAAGTGTGGGGTGTGGAGGTCTGGGTGGGTTGCTCAAGTGATTAACTGAAAAAAGGAACAGGATATTGCAATAGTTGTATTCTGTGTGGTTTAGGGATTATTTATGATCACATAGTCTTTGCATATATGAACATTCAAAATCACATTAGAGGTGATTTCCCTTCACCCTTGTCTCAGAGCCATCAGATGCTTTGAGGAAGGCAGGTGAGTAGTCAAAGCCTGAATTCTGAGATGAGGAAGTGGGGAATGAGACATATTGTCAGCTTATTGGCATTGTTGGGATACCTACATCTTCTGATCACTGTTACTGTCACTATGGACAGGTCCTAGAACAGATTGCACAAATGATCATCTATCTCAAAAGAGCCTTACTAGATGGTGTATCTATAAGGCATTGAAAGCATTCATTCTTTTTCTTCTAAGTGGTAGCTAGCCTAAATTTATGTGCGTTTGACAGTTGTTCATTGAATTTTCTATGGAAAAAATGAAAAGTAAACATTATTTTTTCTTTTTTTACTTGTAGGTCAAGGCCAGTTCATTAGCACAGTCTTGCCTCATTAGAACAATGATTAAGAAATGGATAAGATACTCACAGGGCAAAGCCCATCAGCTGACCCCAGGGTCCAAAATCAGCTGAAGGTTAAGGGTTCCTCACTTCTCAAACCCAGCCTCTGGCACTGAGCAACTCACAGGAAGATAGGGCTAATCCGTGTGAGGATAAAAGGTGTATTTCTCCCCCAAGGCTTAGTGTTTATTTTCACAAAATGACTGAAGTCTCCATGTACTTACATCTTGGTTAGACATTTCCCAGTAAGGTCTCTCTCCATAGGACATGACCTCCCACATGACGATGCCGTAGCTCCATGCATCACTTGCAGAGGAGAATTTTCTATAGGCAATAGCTTCTGGGGCCGTCCACCTTATAGGGATTTTCCCACCCTGAAAAGGAAAGTGAAGATTTTTTCAGCTGGCCCACAAGTGAAATAAGAAACAAAATGGTGCTTCAATTAAATGTCTTTTGTTAGAAAGATCTAAATACTTTATAGTAATATTAGTGTTTTAAATTAAAATCAAAAGAAATCCAGAGGTCCGGGGTTGTGGCTCAGTGGTAGAGTGCTTGCCTAGCATGTTGAGGCACTGGGTTTGATTTTCAACATTGTGTATAAGTAAATAAAATAAAGAAAGGTCCATTGACATCTAAAAAGTATTAAAAAAAGAAAGCCAGAATTATGTTAAAATGTCAGAAATATTTTCCCTTAATAGTTATTCGGTAAAAAAAAGGGAAAAAAAAACAGTTTTAATAGGAAAAATTTACACTTCAGAAATATTTTATTTCATTTATTAGTTAAATTTATTTTTACCTTAGATTCACATAATTAAGCCCATTATTATGCCACTTGAAAAGAGTTCCAGATTATAGAACATTAAAACTAAATTTCATTGAACACTCATTAAACATTGTATTGCATTTATAAATAATAATGATGATAAAGCTCTAATTTAATTGAAGACAAGTAGTTAAACACAGAGCTGTGACATTCTGCACCAACCCCATGTTTACCAAAATTTTATTTCCTTTTCTTTTTGTTGGCTATTACATTTATTTAGAAATGTTCTTTAACTCTATACCAGAGCACCTGAGAAGAATAATATTTTTTTTGAACACTGTAGGTTACTTTATATTTTCTTTCTTCAGTGTTCTAGTTAACATTTGAACATATTTAAAGAGATTAAATGGCATGAATTCAATCTATACTGCTCAAGTATTAAAGCCCACCATTCTGTTATACTTAACTTTTATTAACATTTATTACATTTTATCTGTTGAAACACTCTATAAACCCCTTTATACTGTAATGACAAGAATAAAACAACTCATCCATTTGATTTACAATCTTTAAAATCTCTGCCCCTCTGAATTGTCAGGATGAGCAGCTGCAGGCAACCAGGATGCCACTAGATGGAGCTAGAGAACAAGGAGTGGCTCCCAGACTGCTCTCAAATAGTAGAGATGGCTTCCATTGAGGAGGGCAAAATTGTCTTCATCTTAAGAACCCACTACAATGGGATTGTTCCAACATCAGCATTTTCATGATAACAGCAGGTGATCATCCACTGTGTGCAAAGTCTGGTGTTTCAAGTAGTAAGGGTGAAAAGAAAGGAAGAATGTGTTTCTGGTCCTTGAGGAATTTAGATTAAAGCTGAATTTATTAACTGAATAATAATCTAATCATGACTTATTTAGTAATCTAAACAGTACATACTTGAAGAGTAAAAGAATTCACGGAAAATAGGAACAATTTATGTTTYACAAGGCAAATTAGAGAATTAATGGAACTCTCATTTCAAAGACTCAAACCATAAAATTGTTAGAAAGAACCTTGGGGAAATACTTTCAGCTGGTTTCCCTGGTTTTAAAAGTGAGCAAACAGAGTTCAGAGATTAGAGATTGAGAGGTTTAGAGATTCCTCACTATCTTATTAGGAACCTAAAGTTCTACCAGTGCTTTCAAAACAGAATTATGGGACATTGATTTACAGAAGTTAATACTTCAGCATGGGGGGAAAGTTGGACACAAGTAACTTCAGTGTTTTAACACAGATAGTTATTACCACATATCATGACAAAATAATGGAAGAAATCCCGAGGCCTGGAGTTTTCATGTTTGGGGGCAGAAGTTAAAAGTAGTACCAAATTAGACTGGAAAATTAAATTTACAAAATTGGTGATAGCAGCTGGTGGGCAGGGAAGTGCAAGGAGATAGGATTTATTCTTTTAAAGCAGGGTTGCCAGAGAAGATACAGGTCCAATAGTTAAATCTGAGTTTTGGACAAATAACAACTTTTTTAAGGATAAGTATATCCCATGAAGAATGTTTTTGTGCGTGACCCAAATATTAAATGAGATCTATATATACTAAAAATATTCATCATTTATCTGGAATTCTAATTTAAATGGATATCCTATATTTTTATCTGCTAAATACAGGAATACTAATCTAAGACACTAAATCAGAAATGGAAACAGTGTTAACATTCCATTAACTGAACATAAAGTGGTGTTCTGAGAAAACTGGTATAATCTTTATGATTATGATTGAGGGACAAAGGTACTATAACTTGTATTTGTGTATTAATACTATAGCATTCTTTGCTTTTTTTTTTTGCTGAACATTGAGTAAAACTCACGCTTGTTTCAAGTATGGAAGCCACGCATTCAGAGAATAAAGACAGTATCTGTAGATTTGACATTAAAACAGAATACAACAGTCACTAATATGGCAGTATGTAAAAATGTGGACGTGTAACCGATGTGATTCTACAATCTGTATTTGGGGTAAAAATGGGAGTTCATAACCCACTTGATTCTAATGTATGAAATATGATATGTCAAGAGATTTGTAATGTTGTGAACAACCAATAAAAAAAACATTAAAAAAAAGAAAAAAAAAACAAAATAAAACAGCAGAGCAGTAGTCTCATCTAGCATTTCTGACTCTGGATCTTTCTTTGTTCTGGCAAACAATATGTGAAACTGCTAATCTGCCTGGATGAATAACAATTATAGTCTGCCTGAGTGTTCCTTTGCAAAATCTTTCTAAGTTAAGACAGTCCCTCCCAACACACACACACACACACACACACACACACACATACATACACACGCACACACAGTTAATGGTTATTTTATGGTCATTTACTCATTCATTTTTATAAATAATGTCTCACATCTTATATTAGTGATTCACACATTTATATTTCAAATGACAATATCACATATAAATGATAACTTTATCACTTTCCTTCATGAGATTTTATTTTACCCTCAAGGGGAAGCTAGTTCATAACATTTGATAAATAGCATCACTACCCATCATGAACTGAACTGCATWCCCCTAAAATTCATATGCTGAAGCTCTAAGCCCCAATGTGGCTATATTTAAAGGTAGGATTTTTAAAAGGGTAATTAAGGTTAAATGAAGTCATAAGGGTATGACTGTCCTCCAAATGACTGGTGGTATCCTAATAAGARGATGAAGAGCCCCCAGAGGCATGCAGGCACAGGGAAAAGGCCATATGAGGACATCCTCGAGAAGCAGTCAGCCATCTGTGAGCCAAAAAGGGAGTCCTCAGGAGGAGCCAAACTTGCTGATACCTTGATCTTGGACTCTAGCCTCCAGAACTGTGAGGAATAAATTTCTTTTGCTTAGGTCATGCAGTCTGTGGTATTTTCTCATAGCAATACCAGCAGACTAATTAATACTCTGCCACAGTCAAAAACTAACATTTTTTTCAAAGTATTTGTTAAAATTAACACTACTGCAAATTGAACAGTACATCTTTATTTCAAATTCTATTACAAGTGTTATCTTGAAGTGAAAGTGTTAGCTAGAAAAAAAATCTTAAAATTTGAAAAAAAAGGAGTAAAAGTTTAGGGTACAAAACACAATGCAAAATAACAAAAAATGCATTATAAAGTGAACCTGATAGTATGCACAGAATGGAAAAATTCTGAACACATATGTAAGAGAGGTAAGGAAGCATTCAAATCATTTTTTTTCCACTGGGATGATATGTGTTAGATATAGTTTAGTTCTAATTGCAATATGAGAAAGCAAGAAAGAGGCCTTTAAATACTCTTGCCTGGTCTCTATTTCCTGCAGTAGAGAAATAGAAGCCAAGTTCATTTAAAAAAATAGTATAGAACAATTTAAATGTTTGTGGCTTAATCTTGCTTACTGTTTTCACCCAGATCTTGAATTATAAAGGGAATGCACTAAGGTGCTTTTTATTTTTTCCTCAAAACGTTAACCACCAGGTGTTTGTTTCAGGTTTCAGAAATGAACAAATAATACTTTAGATTTGAAATCCCAATCACTGGAACATTACTCCTTGCTTTACCATATGTTTATGAAAGATAAAAAGTTACCAAAGATGCTGATCAAAATGACTGAATGTAACTCAAAAGCATTTCCATTTAATAATTCCTTTTTATGTAGCAAGCTTCCTCACTTAGGGAAAAAAGGAGAAACAGGAAATAAGCAAACTAGATGGCAACTGAAACTGTTGCTAGTAAACATTTCCCCCCACATTCCAAGCCGTAGTCAGAGCTTGTTATCTAATACACAGGTGGTGGGTGGTAGCTGAAAAAGCACTAAGGAGAGAACCAGGAATTCTGTATACCTGTACATAACATCCTTGTCTACACTAAAGCTCCGGTGTGGAGTTGTCTCCTACATTTATTTAACTTCTGAGTTTTAGAATTTAACCCTCTAATCTTCAGAGGAGTGACCAGTCAATTGACATGCAGTAAAGTTATAGAGGCGAAATACTGAAACCCAAAGAGAGATTCCATAGAGAAGCAAACACTTTCATAAAGTCCCTCTCCATTTCACACTCATTGGATTTCATTGTTTATCTTGAAAGGAAAATGGTTTGAATAGACAATAAAAATAGCCATCAGATTTTCCATTTCTTATGTCCTCAATCGATAGCTGAGGTATTCAAACTTCAGTGAGAATAAGAATTATGGCACAGAAAACGTATCTATTGTGCTTAAAGGATAATTTAAAGAATTTGTAGTGGCAATTTTGACTAAACAATATTATTTTTTATGAACTGCAAATTCCAAGTGAGATGCAACTCTACTGCAATTCATCATGTGACTGTGAGCAAGTCTTAACCTTCCAAACTTACATTTCAGAGATGCAAAATGAGGGGATTTGAATTAATGGTTATAAAATAGTAAGCCATAATGATTTTTATTTTTAAACATTTGTGCATGGTCTCTCAGCTTCCAATAGCTGTAATAAGATAGATCAAAAGCACTGGTACCAAGACTGTGTGAGCAGACAGGCTCATGGCAGACAAAAGAGGGGACAAGTACATTCTTGGGCTGGTCCTAGGCCAAAATTCAAAGGTCACAGTAATCATTCTAGA